TGGCAGCAAGGATGACAGCGCTTCCTGAGACTTGAGAACTCCAGGGGCATGGCACGATGATCTCTTTGAAATGTTTTGCCAAAATGGATCTGTAAGGAAATATGATTTAAAGTTTTCCAAAGAATATGGATGCTTTTGAAAAAAAAATTTATAAAAACAAAACAAAATATCTCTGCCTCTCTGTTGAGTTGTCAACCCAAAGAAAGCCAGAACCTGAATTTTTCTGGACAGAAACTACAGTGCTCCCTTCCTGTTTCCCTGCCCTCCCCTTACCCTTGGTCCCACGCGCCTTCACCTGCCTTCTCTCGCCCGCGCGACGCCCTCCGGGTGGAAGACTGGTAAAATAAGTGGTGCTATAACCCTAATAAAACTCTTGTCACGGCTCAGCTAGCCTGACCCGAGGTGCTGGTGGAAATGAAGGTAAGTTTCCTCTTTTTAAATAATTTTGATGTTCTTTAAACCTATCACAGACATTCATTGTATTTACTTACCATGTCATTTAGATGTAAGATCGCTATACCTTTCTAAGGGAGAGAATTTCATATGTTTTCACGCATTGTAGAAATTTGGATTCATGGGAAATAAAGTTCCAAGGGAAATCAAGTTATTGCCCTTTTCTTTTTGCACCAATAGAAAGATGTTCAGGTAAAGCAAAGCGACTTGGTACAGGCCCTGCCCCCTTCTTTCCTGCCCCCCTCACCCCAAGCACAAAAATTTTCCAAATGTGACCCACCCACATTTGGAAACAGCACTTTGTGGCGTATGGAAGGAATTTCTACTCCCTGCATATGAGCAAAACCACCTGGGTTGGGGCTTAGAAATGTATTGACAAAGGTGTATATTGGGGTATCTTGTAGTTTTGCTGGTTATATTGCTCCTGGGGGGAATAGCAAATTCATGCACCACGAAGAGCCTGCTAAAAATATAGGTTTAGAGGTAATTAAGATTCACAGTCCACCTTGTGAAGGGGTGGGCCCTTAATAATGCTGAAATCTAGGTTGCCTCACGCACTCCCATCCCCTGCCCGACGTAACAGGGAGCAGCCTGCTGATATCTGAGTTTCATCTCCCTCCTAGCAATCAGCAACAATTTCTCTCTCAAACAGTGCTTTTCTCCTAATTTTCCACTTATAGTTTATTCCTAGTTCTGACTTCTTAAAGAAATAGGCCTTCAGAGGGCTCCTGGGCAACAGGGTAAGAAAGCCATCCCGTCTGTCCTTACACTATGGCCCGTCCATCAGGGAACCAGACGTCTTCTGTGAGACCAGCCTTAACTGAAGGCGAGGCTGCCGCCCGAGTCTGCAGCGAGACGGGATCGAGAGTGGGCGTTCGGGAGGCATTACACAAGGGGCTCATCGAAGGCCCTTTGCCCTGCCATGACGGACACCTCCACACTCCCACAGACTTCTGCCCCCGGACGTCTCCACCCGTGATTTCGCTTCTTTCCTGCAGGTGTCACGACCTGGGACACTCAGCTGCAGGGTGTCAGACCACTTCCTAGTTTCTGCATTTAGCTCAGTCGCTGAGGATCTGAGCAGCCCGAAAGGGAATCAGAGGGCTTTCTGTGGTCGATATCTGCTACTTAGACGCTGAACGGAGGAAGCAAGCATCTGCTTCATGTATCCAGCGTGCACCTCGTTGCGGATCAGACTTCCCTGAGCCGCTAGAGAGGAAGGGCAATGCCGGCCCACTGATGGCTTTGCATTCTGTTGTTGCTGCTGCTTTAAGTTCCCAGCAGCTCTATTTTAAATTCCCGCTTAAATAGTTTCTCCTTAGCTGGACCATCTTTGACTCACAGGGGAGGGCTTTTCTTTTTGCATCCACTGTTTTGCTGATGCTGCTTGACTGGCTTTGTGCTAGAATCTTCCGGAGCAGTCTTTTCCCGGGGTCGGTCCTCCTGCTTTTACATCGCAACAGTTTGTACGTTTCCGCTTGCAGCCTGGGTCTGCTCCTGCAGCGCTGTGCTGAGCTCATGCTATGCTACATGTCAGATTTGCTCTTCCCCTCTCTTTGCCTGTGTTTCTAGCTAACTTTAAACGTCACTTTCTTGTAGGACCAACTGACCTTTTGGCTCCATTATAGATAAATGCTATTGGCCCTCCCCTTTCGGAGGTCAAAGGTTTAACAGAAGCTCACTGAGGTTTCTGTGTTCATTGCTTGGAAGTGAATATAGAATAATACTCATTTCCCTGGCATCTTAATGCGAAGGCTGGGAACCTTTTTCCTACTCCTTGGGTAAGAATGTTGGGGTTGGAGGCATAAAATGTAACCAGGCAGTAGGTCCTGGGGGTCTCAGTGACTTTTTCCCATCCTAAAGTTGTAGAGTCAACAGGGACAGTTCAGTAGTTCTGCTTGAATCTGACCGTAGTGGCCATCTCAAGGGCACCAAGGAGAGCAGGAGGCCCGGCTAAACNTTTTTCCCATCCTAAAGTTGTAGAGTCAACAGGGACAGTTCAGTAGTTCTGCTTGAATCTGACCGTAGTGGCCATCTCAAGGGCACCAAGGAGAGCGGGAGGACCAGCTAANAAGGGCACCAAGGAGAGCAGGAGGCCCGGCTAAACGTCGGCAGCCTTTAAGACGCGCTGGGCTGAGTGAAGCTGGTGGCTGACGCGGCCCTAACGCAGCGATGTCCTGAACTGACTGCGGGTGTGGGCACTTCTCCCTCTCGTCTTGTCCCATCATCCACATTAAGTGATGTGCGAAGACTGCGTATGAACAGATGGCCGTCTATGGGAGAGCCTGCGTTTGGAACAGTGCTGCCTCCATAGCCAATATTTTCTATATCTTTTTTCACTTTCGCCTTTTCTATTGAAACATTTGCATGTGGGATAAAGAAGATAAAAACAGAAAAACACAAAGGCAGATCTGTTTATTGTGAGAACATCTGTTCTTGCTTCCAAGTACCCGCGCGATGTGGTCCATTTTCTCCCAGGGCCCAAGCAGCTTGCTCTTGTGAAGGCGACTGCTGTGCGCATCTTGGGCCTGAAATGGATGAGACGGTGAACAGGGCTGTCTAGTGAGTTGAAATGTAGACAACGCCCTGTTCTTAGTGTATACATTTTAGACAACATTAAAGTCAGCCATACTCACGGGGAGAAGCTAAGATTGAGTGCCAAATGGTTTGTTATGGAATTATTTTTTTCCTACAGTTAACTGATCTCAAGGCACCATTACCCAACTCAGGGTATACTTTGCTCACTCCAAGTTTCTTCACTGAATTCTCAGCGTTCTTGTGAATTTGGCTTATGCTTCAGGTATAGGTACATCCTGGAAATTTTTAAGTATAAATCACCTGCTGAATACTTTGCAATAAAATGAGACCTTTTCACTTTGAAAGTCTGTTTGTTTCAAGAACCCACCCCCCCCCAAACTTCAACTGCTATTATATCTCTTATAACCTTCATTTAATACAAATACTAATTACTTAAAATTAAAGGGCACAATTTAAAATTACCTAGTTTAAAAGATCTCCACCCAAATACACTCTTTTTTATTTCCTTCCCTACACAGTATATAATACCTTCAGTCTGGGGAATAAAGGAGCTGGTGGAGTGGCTAGTAAGAACTATACAGGGCTGGGCTAAAGTAGGTTTACAGTTGCACAAATAAATAATACAATAATAAATAATAAATCAAGAATAAATTCTGTTTCATGTGTGCACAACTGTAAATCTACTTTTGCCCACCCCTGTATAATGAAGCTTTCAAAATTACTTGGATTAAAAATATATTGACCTTATTTGATGGTTTCCAAATAAATAAAGACCTATGTAGACATCATTTATTCAACGAGCACTCATTAAAGCACCTACTATGTGCCTGGCCCTGTGCCCCTATCTGTTGGAGCCAAATTTATGGTCTTCTGAAACATTTCAAATGCATAATATGCATAGGGGTGTATTGGCCGGTTATGTATTTCATCTTTTTTCCCCCAAGTCTTTTCCAGAGATAGGGCTTTCTATATCTTGAGGATTTAAGCATCATCTTTCTGAATGGGCTCAGCTGTCCATGTAGAGAGAACAAGCTTGGTTTAAGTTCACTGATTCTATGCAGTCTTCCTTGTCTTTTAAATGTACATCTCAGTTCATGAAACTTGAGAGAATGTCATGAACCTTGACATTCTCTCCCCAGTTACTAGCTGGATGGCTTTAATGCCTCCGTATCTATCTTGCCAGCTTTTGCTCCTAAATACCATAATTCCTTATTGCGCCCGATTCTTCCTAGGGTGCACTTGAACTTATCTGAAGCATCTTGAGCATCGATCTTTTGAGACAACTTAGTTTCTTTCTTTATTTGGTGGCACTGAACATTCTTTTGCCCTAAACAGATTCAATTTTAGAATTTTACATTATTTCATTTCTTAGGCTTTTGGATCTTTTTGGAGTATGATGAACAGTGAGATAATTCAGGGGGCCCTCACATTCCCTTCAGGAGCATTATTTATAATGGGTTTCAGACCTTGTTACTATTATTATTATTAATTGTGGTGATTACTATTGTGATTTATGTGGACACTGATGGGGAATGTCAAGTTAAGAGCATATATTACAGAGCTCTTGACTCATCCAGTGGGTGGATACTCTCCAAAAGCCAGACTGGTGTACTAGGCCATAATGACCAAATGATGTTTTAAAATGCATGATGAATTTCCTATATCTTCAAGGAATTCATCTGAAATCTAAGATTTCGGGAAACAAAATGACAGCTGACTCCTGTTTCCTGTAAATGATCACTTACTGCCACTGGTACTTTAAACCTTGTATCTGTAGATAAAGGAGGACGCTGATTTCTTTCACTCCTTTGTCACTGTCCTTTATGTTTGAGTGAGCCTTTTATGGAGAATCCTGTTGAATCAGTGAGACTGGGTGGGCTTTGGGTGGGGTGGGATACGATTCCTTGAATGCAGCCAGGTCATGGGCACCAGTGTGGCTTTGACAACTCTGATGCCATGAGCGATACTTTTAGGATGATTCTAATTTTGACACTTACCACCATCCTTAGGCAAAGGACCCGAGACCCTGTATGCGGGGCAGAAGCTCAACGACAACGAGTGGCACACCGTTCGGGTGGTGCGGAGAGGAAAGAGCCTTAAGTTAACTGTGGACGATGATGTAGCCGAGGGTGAGTACAGCTGGAGTGACATTTGTTCCTCATTGCTCGCATAGTCCTCTCGCTCAGTCAGTGCTCCAGGGGTATTTTCCAAACCTTTTATTTGGCTTAACAGATGTCACAGGTCCTGTTCTCTGCTGACATGCTCAGCCAATGCTAAGAAGGTCTTCCTCTATATTTTCAAAATCCCTTTTCATTGTTCTGTATTAAGGAACTGATCAACTACTGTAATTATACATTGATGGATCTCATTCCTTGGGAGAAGAGTATGTGACTGGAGAATAGATGTAGGGTTCTGCAGACCCTTCTGTTATCCAGTTATTCAAAAATCACTTATCAGTCACCCTCTCAAATACCAGTTCCTTCCCTCAATGCACCAGTTGCTCTCTGGTAGAGGGAGATGGATAAACCAGAAGTTCAGAAATAGGTAAAGTAAGTACCTCCGTCAGTGTATGATACTTAGAAGGTGCTGAATAATCAGTTATTTATTTAGTCATTGTTGATTGAGCACCTACTCTGTACCAAGCACATATGGTGGTGAACAAATAGGCAAGTCCTTGGCCTGGTAGAATTTATATTTTAGGAGGGCAGTGAATGTAAAATTCATTCATTATGAAATGCTGAGTTCAGAATGAATGAATCCACACATGGGTAAGAGACCTTCAGAGTCTCACACAAGCAGTATATATTTCTTGAGAGCCTGTTATGTGTCAGAATGTGCTAAGGACTGTAGAGTATAAAAAGGAAGACAAGAGATTACCCCTTTCATCAATGAACCAATCTAGTAGATTAGCTAGGACTTGGGTATTTGAAAATAAGACAAGGAATATAATTTGGGTGGGTAAGATTATAATTGTCCATCAGAAGAGAAGATTATCAGCTGGGGATGGAGATAGCAGGAGTGGTTTGTGAAGGCAGATCTTCAGGCAGAATTTGGTGGATGAGTATAATTGGTGAGGTTGGGGTGGAAGAGCAGTTATCTTCAAGTGCATCGTCAATGCTGCATCCCATAAATCTCCACTCTCTCCTGTTCCACAGCAGTGCGCATCTGTCATCCAGGATTCCTGGATCCTGGGAAAAGAAGACTTGGGGCAACAGGGGTATTATGTAGAATACTGTTGGCATCAGGAGACCTGGGCTCTGATGTCAATTCTTTGCAGGATGCTGGGAAAGCACCATTTCTGGGCTTTGTCAAATANGGTATTATGTAGAATACTGTTGGCATCAGGAGACCTGGGCTCTGATGTCAGTTCTTTGCAGGATGCTGGGAAAGTCACCATTTCTGGGCTTTGTCAAATGNAAGCACCATTTCTGGGCTTTGTCAAATAAAGTCAGTGGCCTAAGCCATTTCTGTGACTAGGACAGTCAGCTTGGGAACAGGAGCCCTGGAATTTAATACCATCTTTGTCACTAAGATGCTTTATGCCTTTGGGGTAGATGCACTGAACTTCTTTTTACTCATGTCTTCATTTTTAAACTGGAAATTCTATTATTGCTAAGGCCCCTTTCAGTATAAAGGTTCTGTGATATTGGTCCTATCATTTAATTTTATATTCACAAGCCTGAGCTCTTTTTACTTCTGGAGTCAGTCATTATAGTAGTGAGCCACATAGGTATGTGTGCAGGTGTGTGTGTGTGTGTGTGTGTGTGCAGAGAAGGAGAATCTCTGGGTGGAGGAAGGGCGTGAGGCATATACCCAGTGCCCAGTATTCATTACAGGCTAAGTTCGCTGTCTTACACATGTCGGCTCCTTAAACCTTCTGTTGTTCTGTAGGTTGCCCTGCAAGGTTAGAGTTCTGATTGTCATTTTACATAGGAGAACATGAAACTTAGAGGGAGCTATGTAGTTAAGCTCCAAATTCTCATGTCTGTGTGATTTCACCAAATCAAGCTGCTTACTGGGCTTCATAATCCATCATAAGAAAATGATTTGTTGCTCTGGCTGGTGTGGTTCGGTTGGTTCAGCATCATCCCACGCATTGAGAGGTCTTTTGTTCGATTCCAGGTCAGGGTGCATGCTGGGGTTGTAGGCTTGATCCCCAGTAGGGGGCGTGCAGGAGGCAGCCAATACACATTTCTTTCTCATTAATGTTTCTCTCTCTCTCCCTCTCTTTCTCTCTCTCTCCAATCTATTAAAAAATAAAATAAAGAAGAAAAAGGAAAACATTTATCTTACAAAGCAGGGAAAAACATTATGGATGGATTGGGGTGAGGTAGGGAATTCAGGAGGTAGGCTACACTCTCCTCTCCCCCAGAATGAAGACAGAGCCTAAACAACTATCCCCAACCTTCCAAATGTACACAGACCTAACTTAGTAGGGAGCTAAGGTTACTGTTCTACAGGCCTGCAGGGCAACTTACCCTTATGCAATGAATGTCAGTGAAGAGATGTAAGAATGGTTTACTGTTTAGAACCCACAGCCCCCCTTAGTTAGTTATTCAAGAACTCCCCATGAGGTGTTGGTGCGGGCAGGAGCCTGCGGAGGCAGCTCAGTCCCACAGGCTGCCAGCTCCTCTGGGTTCAGGGCAGTGAAGCCCAAAGCAGTGCTGTTCGCAGTGTGCTTTCAATAGCAGCCGCTAGATGGCGACGCACCCCAACCTCTCCCAGCAGCGAGTCCCTTTCATTTCCACAGGAAATTACAGGTCACGGTGCCCGGAAAGCTATAGCCATAAGGAGCTGCACAGCTGAGGGTGTAGTAATGCGTATTGCCTCCCTGGGTCATCATTTGTTACAGAAACTTTAGATAAGGGTAATTATAAAGTGTGCTTTCTCTTTCCGCTAATAATTTAAAAGCAGGACTTAACCATGGCAGGCCCAAGTAAGTCATCCAGTAATTTGATATTTGAAATTAATGACGCTCTTTCACTCTCCGCCTTACCCCCTACTTTGCTAATGATGGAAAAAAGCATCCATAAGGATAAAGAAATCTTGGGAAAGAAAGGAGGCATTTTGCTTATGAGCTACAGTCTTGGATTGCTTTTCACAGTGATAAGGGGTTTGGGAATTTTAATTTTAGCTCACGGAAGTCATAAAATCAGGCAATGAAATTAAAATACCACTCAGTCCTCTGTTATTAAGTAGTGTATTATTGGCTTATTTAGTAATCCCTTCCATGCTGTTTAAGGTCCTCCAGGGTGTCAAATTTTCAGCAAGTTTATAGAAATGATGCAAAGAATAGGTCAGACTCATAAGAAATCAAAAGCAAGGAAATAAATATTCCTCAGCCTGGTGGTTTTCATTTATTATAATATAATGTATTCCTGGAACTGTATTAAGTTCAGTTGGCAGTTAATAAGGATTGATTGATTGATTGATTGACCTGGATTTCTATTATCAAGAATAAATTAAAAGACTCCCTCACTTGGGTTATACTCCTCACAGTTGGGGCCTAATGCTGCATGAACTGGCCACACCACTCAGAACTTCTTGCTGGTGCAAAAATCCACTCTCTTTGTCCACTCTGGCCCATGTTGGCTTTTCCCTCCCCCTCCCTCACCCCATATTGCACATATGGTACCAAGCTGTGGAAAACCACTGTCTAAAGTATTCCGTGGAAAACTTGCTCCTCACATTAACAAAATATATGAACTAGATTTAGAAAATGTTACTTTAAACAACGTGAAGAGGGCTTCTTTATTGTAAGACTTATTAGGAGCCTTTGCTGTACTAATTCACATTGCTAATCATCTGTAATTAAGTGTGTGGTGTTTGCGAACTTTATTTGGTTCCAGAACTTCTTTTATTAAAGCATTTTACAGCATACACACATGGAAAATGTGGATATTGTGGAGAAAGGGTGTGGGGACAGTGGAGCTGGAGGACTGTGGGCAAACGGTGCACCCTGAACTGAGCTTCCCTTTCCTTTGCCACTGGGAGGTCACGTTGCCTCCACTAAGCCATTTCCATGATTTCTTTGCTATGCTCTTGGCGTTGGCCAGGAACCTCATGTGCAGAAATGGTGGTGATCCAAACTCTGACTCCAAAGTAGATTTCTCAAGTACAACCTCCTTCCCAGACACCCGGGACACTCGCTGCGCTCAGGCCCTTCTGAGGTAGGACATCTAGAAGAGGCAAGAAGTAGTTCCCACTTACAAAGATCTAGTGTTCTAATAAAAGGGAGAAAGCAATAAGTGACATAACCAGAAAACTAACATATTTCAGAGAAAGGAAAAAATGAGTGCTGCATAATTAGTAACAGCTCACAGTTTGAGCACTAGGCACTGCTCTAAGTACTGTCTACATGTTGATGCATTTAATCCTGATAACGTCATACTTATTTCATGGATGGGAAACTGAGGCACAGAAAAGTTAGGTAACCTAGATGGTCTAGCCTCATAGCCTACACGCTCATCTACTATAGGTGTCTCATGGGTAGTTACAGCCTGAACTTGCCCAAGTTTTCCATGGTTTATGTTCTCCACAAACTGCCTGATTCTGAAGGCTGCTCTGTAAACTGCTTTTGGCATCAGTGAAACATGAAAGTGAAGGTGTGCTTAGGGGCCAAGGCAGTGTGGCTGTTCCAGGAGAAGTGCTAGATATATTTCTTATGAATATGAATGACATTGTGATACTTGGCCACTGGGGAGGAGTGTGAGCTCGTCACAGCAGCTCCTGTACGGACTTTTCACCAGCTAAGTTCCACCTGCAGCTTTTCTTGAGCATTAATGTAAAGAGCTAGTCATGCCTTTTTTCCAGAGAGAGTACAGAATGCAGGTTAAGATCCAGACTTTGGAATTAAATACACCCGAGTTCAACTTGGGGGCCTACTCTTTACCACCTGCATGGACTTTGACCACATTGCCTGACCTCTCTAAGCTAAGGGTCCACACCTCTAAAGCTATAATGATGCCTACCTGCAGTTTTACTGCGATTATGACATCGAGGGTGGTTATGAAGTGCCCAGCACAGTGCCTGGCCAAGGGATAGCCAGTAGTTTTGGTTTTTCCTTGTTATCTTTCTCCCCTGTTACTCCTCTTTTCTCTAAAATTTGGCAGCAGGCCCAGCTGGCGTGGCTCAGCGGCTGAGCATCGACCTAGGATCCAGGAGGTCACAGTTCGATTCCCGGTCAGGGTACATGCCCGGGTTGCGGGCTCGATCCCCAGTGGGAGGCGCACAGGAGGCAGCCGATCAATGACTCTCATCATTGATGTTTCTCTCTCTCTCCCTCCCTTCCTCTCGCTGAAATCAGTAAAGATATATTTAAACAAACAAACAAACAAATAAATAAAATCTGGAAGCAGCTGCTGTGGAGTGTGCGTACATTCCACCCTTAGATGGAAAGGAGTTTTAGTCTGCAGGTGGCACTCAGAGGTTCCCAGCTCTCAATACTGATTAGGTAATACACCGACTTTGAAAAATACTCGATGCTTAGTTTGGTACACATTTGAAGCCTTAAGCATCTCTTCACTGTTTTCTCTGGGTAAAATAGTATACTTTTGGGAACCTGCATCCACAGAAAAGTTTCTTTAGCATATGGAGAAGTCAATTGCTCTTCTAATTTGGCCCCACATCACCTTCTCCCCACCACTCACCAATTTTTGGTGAAATCTGCTCTCAGACATCCTAAAGGCTAAATTAGTGTCTGTCCCTGGGCTAAGCCTTCAAATTCCATTGTTAGTTTCCCTTCTATTACTTATCCAAGCCTTTCCTCAATTTTTCTATCTCAATCTTACGTGATTTTCATGTAATTTTTACGTGATTTTTTTACCTTATTTGATTTTTTGGCTTTATGAAATTCACATTCTAGTGAGCAGAATTTCCTAACCCGTCAATTCTGGAGGTCAGTTAATCCATAAGTTCTCTAAAAGCTCCCAATTGACTTTAAAATGGATTCTTAGATTTCTCTGGAACCCCAATCTTTAACAGTGATCACCCCATTATTACTTCTTGGTTCTCATTGCTGTTTTGTTTGTTGTAAAATAAAAATTAGCACAACTATCAGCATCAGCATCATCGTTCAACTCCTATGTCTCCATGGAGATTGCCTATGATTTTGCCTCCCCACGATTTTCCAGCTCTAGCCCCCGCCCCGATGCAAACACCTATAGCCAAATCACACTGGATATTTATTTCTGTCCCTTCATTGCTTTAGAGCCTGTGAATGTAGGGTAGGCTACTTTGCATTTTTGTGACCAGTCCAGCTTTTAATACTAAGTAATTTTATACAGTAATTTTTTTCTTAGTTATTTAACTCTTAGCAGATTTATGCTGCATTTTGATTTTTGTTCTATTACAATTTTAAATTTAGTTAACCAACATTATTTTATTTTTGCTTATATTAAGAGAATGATTTGTCACTAGTTGTCAAAATACCACATAGGCTCTCATAAAATGCAAATCGGATTTTTGTGTTTATGAGCAATTTTTTGAATTAGGTCTCGAGTATGCTCCCATAGAGATGAAATTAATATTTAGCATCTGAGGGTGCAGTCTGCTCGAATCTCCCAGATATTGAAGTTCAAGGGACCCAAGAAAATATGAGCCACTCTTTTTGGCCGCCTGAGTTCTATGCCAATAGAGGAGAAACATACAAGGCAGGTGGAAATAAAATATCATTTTTATTAATGATGCCACTGAAAGTGGTGGCTCACATCTACTGAATGTCAGAACTGGATGGAGCTGCCCACTTGGACCCCAGTTCAGGGCAGGGGCAGGCATCCTCCACCGAGGCCCCAGCCTGCTCCTCCAGCACCCGTGCTGCGGATGAGTCGGGGAGACTGGGGGTTTCCTGAAGGCAGCTTGCTTCCCTACAGGGAAACAAGAAGTGCCAGGGTCTGAGCTATGACAGTTTCTCTTTGCAGATTGTCCTTAATCGTTTAGATTATGTCACCCCTCTTCCTCTGGAAAGTTATAAAACAAGGGTAAAGAGATACTAGGAGTTTCTTGGTGGGATTTCTTCAGTGTGAAAGGCAACAGGAGGAGGCAGGCAGAGGGAGTTCCCTTTCCCTTCCCTTTAGCTTTGGGGCGTTAGGACGTGACTTGCTAAATTTTAATGACTCATCTCTGTATGAATGTCCAAGGAGCCACCTTCTGCTCTGGCCATGCTAATGATGTTTTCCTTGACTTTGCTGTTAAAATTTCCAGTCTGTGTATCTGCTTCAAGCCCTCGTTACCCCTGCTCCAGTCACTCACGAGGGCTTCAGGAAAGGTCTAGTAGTTTGTATCAGCTGGAGATCTTCCTGATGCAAATATCAGAAGCTCTCCCCAAAGGCTTTAACCACAGAAGGGAGTTAAAGTCCAGAGTTGCCTGGCTGGATCCAGACCTTCAAATGCCATCATCCTAGAAAAATTGTGTTTCTGCGTGAGTTGTTTTCTGGGTCCCCTGTCTTCTCAGGCAGGTCCAGTCCCTTGGGTTATTGCATGGCCACTGGCTCTCTAGGCTTCCTTCTTACCCCTACAGCAAGCCTTCTTTGCAAAAACTCCTCTTTCGTAAGTGTTCTAGCAAAATCCCTGGAGCTGAACGCTACTGGACCAGCGCAGGTTGCTGCTAGTGCAGTGGTTCTAAGGGTGGTTTCCAGATCAGCCACATAAGCGCCAACTCAGAACTTGTTAGAAATGCAGACTCTCAGGCTGCACCCCAGACTTTTGAATCATTAACTCAGGGTGTGGCCCAATGAACTGTGTTTTAATAATCCCTCCAGGTGATTCAGGTGCATGCTAGAGTTCTTAGGTCCTAGGGTTCCCTCTAAGGCTAGGGGATCGAATATGTTGAGTGGTTTGGTCTAAGTTAGCTTGAGTACTTCCAGAGCTAGGATGGGGTCAGCTTCATCCAGCCTAGATGGTTAAAAAGTGAAGTGCAAAGGGTAACTTTCCAAAAGAAGATCAAGGGTTATTATCAGCAAAAGCAATAGTCACTGGGAAAATGAAATGAACAGATGTTCTACAGTAGAAACTTTTCCAAAAGTACAGCCATGCGCTACTTAACATGAATCTGGTCTAAGGATGCGTCCTTAGATGATCTCGTTGTGCGAACATCGTTGCGTGTACTTCCATAAAGCTGGATGGCATAACTTACTACGCACATTGGTTATATGGCACAGCCTATTGCTTCTAGAATACACGCCTGTACAGCATGTCACTGTACAAAACAACACGAGATTAAATCAAGCACAAGAGAAAATGATGCAGTCAAGAGATGCGATAAACACAGATGTGTGAGGCTGCTTCCAGTCTAACACCCCCTACTGTTTTACAGCAAACTTTATAAGTACAGTACACACTAGAATCATGATGAAAAGTGTAGGGTGGTAAATACATAAACTGGTAACATAATCATTTATTATCATTATTAAGTATTAGTCCTGTATATGACTGTATGTGCTGTACATTTATACGACTGGCAGGGCAGTAGGTTTGTTTACACCAGCACCACCACGATCCTGTGAGTAATGCATTGGCTGAGATGTTCCTACAGCTGCAATATCACTAGGCGATAGGAATTTTCAGCTCCATTATAACCTTATGGGACCATTGTTGTACGTATGGTCTGTTGTTGAGGAAAACGTCATTATGTGCTGCATGATTGTACTAGCGACTGAATCATTAGGTGGTGAATTATTACACCAAGAAATATTTGGCAGTGAGTACCTAGGGCTTGTTTGTTTTCTCTTTACAAGGGTTAGGAGAAAAAAGGCTTTTCTTCTTATATTATATACCAGGACCCAACTGTTTTTCTTAATGGAGAAAACTAACAGTTTTATCTTTTAACTTGAATTACCTGTGATCTCATATCTTCTCATCTATGATGGGACATCTGAGCAGCTGGATGAGAGTGTGGGATTCAGGATATTTAACTTGGGTTGGGCCAGTAACTAGCTCCCCCACTGAGGCCAGGTCAGGTATATAGTGTATTGAGTATTTTGTTTTTTGGAACTGACTCAAGAAAACTGAATATTTTGTATGGGGGGAAAAATCAGACCTAAAAGATATAGTAAAGAAGCTATGACAAAACATGGTAACTTTTCCTGTTGGTATCCCATTTATGATTTTCACAGGTACGATGCTGGGAGATCATACCCGCCTGGAATTCCACAACATTGAAACTGGGATCATGACCGAGAAGCGTTACATCTCCGTGGTCCCCTCCAGCTTCATTGGCCACTTGCAGAGCCTCATGTTCAATGGCCTGCTCTACATTGACTTGTGCAAAAACGGCGACATTGACTACTGTGAACTGAAGGCTCGTTTTGGACTGAGGAACATCATCGCTGACCCGGTCACCTTCAAGACCAAGAGCAGCTACCTGAGCCTGGCCACCCTGCAGGCCTACACCTCCATGCACCTCTTCTTCCAGTTCAAGACCACCTCGGCGGACGGCTTCATTCTCTTCAACAGTGGCGATGGCAACGACTTCATCGCAGTTGAGCTAGTCAAGGGGTAAGTGGAAGGGATCACATGGCTGACGCTGGGTAGCTCAGCTCAAGCCTTACATAAAATATGGACATGAAGTGTCTATTTTCCTCCTCACCTTCTAGTCATCCTCACTGATTAAAAATATTTATGTAATGATTAGGGCTGGAAGGAAGAGAGTAAGTGTATTTAAAATCTTTACTAACTCAATACTATGAGACTTTTTTACTGTGAAATGTAGCCTATATACCTATGAAAAAAACCTCATTTTTGCAAAAGAGGAATATGGGGTACATTGCTTCTTTGAGGCAGCAGTATTATCTGCAGCCACTATATTTATAAGAAGAAATGAAATATAGATATTTTTGGTACTATCATGAGACCATAAATGTAACTTTTAAAAATCTGTTCTGTCTTCAAGACATTTTACTACCATGTGCTGGAAAATAGTCAAAGCAAAAGCAAAACCAGAACAAAACTCCCCAAACAGACCCATGATTGACTGTGAATTTCAGTGTCGCCCCCTAGTGTTTTGGAGTGTACCACCCGCACTACTTCCTGGCTCTGATTTTTACTAGGTAGCGTTCAAGAAGTAGACTCTGTGAGTATGAAATTAAAGTGAAATCTTCTAGATTAGTATCTGACTCTTCTTGTATCCTAAATCAAGCTTTAATTATTCCTGCGTGATACCAGTTTAGCATGGAGGATTCGAAGCCCCACGTGTCACCGTACACACATTGCCATTAAACAACTTCAGGGAATCTCATGTCATTGTTTGTTTTCTCTCCTAGGTACATTCACTATGTGTTTGACCTTGGAAATGGCCCCAATGTGATCAAAGGCAACAGTGACCGCCCCCTGAATGACAACCAGTGGCACAATGTCGTCATCACCCGGGACAATAGCAACACTCACAGCCTGAAAGTGGACACGAAGGTGGTCACTCAGGTTATCAATGGTGCCAAAAATCTGGATTTGAAAGGTAAGCCTTGTAAAGAAGTGTATCCTTGTTAGAGCATTTCCTACCGTTGCAAGGCTGTTTCCAGAGGCAAGCTGCAGGCTCTGAGCACTGTGTATTTTTGAGGCATAATGCATATTCTCTTTTNTGTAAAGAAGTGTATCCTTGTTAGAGCATTTCCTACCGTTGCAAGGCTGTATTTTTGAGGCATAATGCATATTCTCTTTTAACGACACTGAATTGTGCCACAGCACAATGTATCCAGTGTTTACTTAGGCCACTCCTCAAGGGATGCTTCACTTTCTCTGTACACCCTGGGGGCTGAGCGATGAGGTGATAAATGACAAAATGGGAGAGACCCTAACACAGAGCAAGAAATAGAGGTTTGGAACCTCGCTTGAATCATTTACTGTCTGGGTGACTTTGGTAAAATCTTTTAGCTGGGTACAGCTTCTGTATACTTTTTTTCAAGACGAGGATAGTAATTGTTGCTAAGTTTAGGGGCTGTTAGGAAGTTTAATGGACTAATGTCTGTAAAACTCTCAGCATCCTATCGGTAACAGGCACATAAAAAGCATTCAATAAATGGTTTTGTTGCAAATGTTAAGCTTTATCATAAAATGGTAATAGTACCTACCTACCTACCTCATAGACTGTCGATGGTGATTAAATTTGTGAGATGCTGTTTCTAAAATGAATGGCACATAAGAAATGTTAGTTTTCTCTTTGTACGATGTAGAAACTCTGGCAATTTTATTTTGTTTATGCTGTTTCTCTCCCCCAGCTCTGTCACCATTATCTGAATGAATGGCCTCAGGTACACTGGCTTTAGTTGATGAGGCTTCCAATCCTTGACTCATTTGCTGTTACTACCTGCTTTCCTTTCCAGGTGACCTCTACATGGCGGGTCTGGCCCAAGGCATGTACAGCAACCTCCCAAAGCTCGTGGCCTCCCGGGATGGCTTTCAGGGCTGTCTGGCATCAGTGGACTTGAACGGGCGCCTGCCAGACCTCATCAATGATGCCCTCCATCGGAGTGGACAGATCGAGCGTGGCTGTGAAGGTACAGCCTCCTTTCTTGCTAAGCTGTAGCCTTGTCGCAAGCACCGAGCCTCTTTGCTGCCTCTGCCAGTGCCTTCTTCCCCGGTTCACCAGTCCTCTCTTAATCCCACTCACCATCTGACATTGCATCACCATCAGTGTCCTCTGCCACTGCTGAGTATGTGAAGACATGTGCCACCCGCTCTCCAGGAATGTATGTTGGCAGATGTCTTCCCAGTGTCACATACTTGCCGATTGAGGACCTTTCCTGGCATTGACATCAGGCTTCTCCTGACTTGTGCCTTTGCTTCCAGCATGGCTGAAAGGGCATTGGGACTTCTATTTATGCTTTACCACGTGGGGAGGTACAAACCAGAGACTCCTCTATGGGTGTCACCATTAATGAAATGTTTCTTAGGTTGCTAATGGTGATGGCATTATTTAATGCAAACCCAGCAGGAGGTGGGAAGATGATGTCAGAATGCCATCATGATGGAAGGAAATTAACATTTATTGAGTACTTACTAGATGTGAAGGCTTGTTAAGCAGATCCTTGGTGTGCTGTGGTGGAACAGCCTGCTCTTCGATATGGAAAAGACTTAGATTTAGGTCCGGATCGTAGCTCTTATTAGCTGTGTGACATTTGACAAGTTACATAACCTCTCTAATCTACATCTTCCTCACTTGTAAAACAGTGCAATAAAACTTACCTTGGAAGGTAATATCCATGAATCAGAGATATAGATAAAACGTCTGGTACCTACACAGTGAGTACTCAATAAATGGTAGCATTATTATTTACAAATGTTATTTCACGTGAGACATATAATAACATTGCATGCTCACCAGTGCAGCACAGCAAACCATGCTCAGCCTGTTTCTCTAGGTGATCGATCCCTGTCTCTTCAGATAGTCACTTAATTTTACAGATCTTGAGTCTAATAGTTCTTTACTATATGTAAAAATAATCTAGTTCTAGCAGGCAGAGGGCAGCAGTGAATGTTTTCAGTCTTTCCTATATTGGGTAGACTGAAAAAGTGACTCTTACCTAACTGGACAGGCAAAGAGGATGTCTGACCTGTCACTAGGATCTATGTGTCCTTTTGTCTGGTTGAGCCTCATGGTCCTTTGTGCAATATATTGAGTTTCCTTGTAGCCCTCATTAATTTACTATAGCGATTTTCAACCTTTCCATCTCACAGCACACATAAACTAATTGCTAAAATTCTGCTGTACACCAAAAAATATTTTAAATTTGTTGCCTATCTGGCAAAAAAAAATAGGTATTATTTTAATTCATTCACAGTAGACGGCTATTGTGCTGGCTGCTGTCAATTTTTTAAATTTGACAACCTAAGGGAAAAGAGATCAGTGCCCCTGACTAAATAGGTATAGTGTGCTTTAAAAACCCTTGTGGCATGCTGGTTGAAAATCGCTGATTTACCGCATCCAACCTGTTCATTCATCTCCAGCGTTCAACTTCATTTATTGCCCTATTCTTACCAGCTTCCAGCTGGGTTTGCCCGCCACCTTAAAGCACATTTTTATACAAGCTTCCCATCAGCTCCCCAGGCTGATTTGCAGTGTGGAAGTTGTTTCTCCTTCCCTAAGAGTCCGTTTCCCAGGGGGCATTGGCAATAAGACTGGCTGTTCCTATAACGCACTGCAGTTCCCCTACACCAGGGATATCTCAAGTTCTGAGGGCCAAACGGGTGTGTGCGTACATGAGGGGCAGAAGGTTGGGAATCTCCAGGCACCTAAAGTAGCCACTTGGCTTTCTAGGCCTGGGAAGGCACAGTTTCAGTTAACTCAAGAGTGTTTGTCTTATTGCCTTGCTCTTAGTTCCTTTGGGCATTAAAAGGCAATCCTGAGATAGATGCAGCATTTGGGAATTAAGTTAGGTATCTTAGGTTCGAAGATTGTAGAATCACAGTTATTCCAATGATCCTGGAATAATTCATCATATCAACTTAAATCATATGATAAAAGCACGTATTGGAAAGCGTAAGGCATGCCGCATATGTTCAGTATTTCTCTCGTGCCATCAGTCCTTCAGATTTGAAAGTTAACAGGGATCATCCATTTAACTCTACAGCAATGTGCGTGATAGAAATATCATGAGTCACATATGTGATTGTAAATTTTTTTGTAGCCACATTTGAAAAAGGCAGAAAGTGACAGGTAAAATTTATTTTAATTTTACATTTTATTTAGTGTAACCCAACATATCAAAAATGTCATTTCAGCATATAATCCATATAAAATTGTTAAGACACTTTACTTTTTTTCATACTAAGCCTTCAAAGTCGAGTATGGATTTTATACCACTAGCCACCTCAATTCAGACCACAGTCCTCTAAAGTGCTCAGTAGTCACATGTGACTGTGGCCACTGTATTGAAAGCACAGTTGCATAGAGTATGAAAATCAGAGTGTGGGAACATAACGCTGTAGTATTGGATTAACAGGAAGTCTAAACTCACTTTTGTAAAAGGGGACTGAAATGTATAGCATAAAGGGGGGAATGGACCCCAGTTAAGAAACCTTTAAGAAAAGCAGTAAGAGCGTTAGTGAGAGAAAATTACCCATTAGAGTGGAGAAAATGTCCCTGTCCCTACCTACAGCTCTGTGTGCAGTTCGCTGTGACTCATCCCGAGCATTATGGTGGGTTCTGACCTACCTCCGAGTATGGGTGATTGGTCAAAGCTGGATAGTGTGCCTTGATGGCTCTACCATCTGAATCTATGGCAAGTGCCATGGGCCTAATAGCACTGCACTCTATTGCCATGGAGATAATTGCGATGGTTCCGCACGGCACATTGTGATGCCCGCCGGGTGGGATGAAGTAGAGGATGAGTGCTGAGGGAAGAAAGTCCCTGTTTATTGTACACAGATGACTTGGATAATTAGTCTAAGTGGCCAGGAAAAATGGCCAAAAAGTGGGTTAAGGCATAAATTACTGTCATTGGAAATTTGCACCATTGCGAATAAGCCCTTCTAAGAGATCCCGGGAGCTCTTTAGGGTGCTGTTGAAGATGACAGGGAAGGTAATCAAGGTCACAGAACCTTGGAGAGACTGCAGAGGAGTGTCATCATTCTGAATCTCTGTGTAGAGCATGGGGCCTGCAAGAAAGCCGTTGAGTGTCAGGCAGCATGGGGATCATATGACATTTCTATGTAGAGAATAGGAAACAGGTAGGGGATGAGTCATTACTCAACCTGAATCTCTTCAAGATGGGAGATATGTTTTATTGTCACATATCTGGGGTACGTAGCCCAGGATAAATCATATGTTCTTGCCAAAGTCATTGATCATGACCCTTCAAGATGCTTCATTAGTAAGTGTATTACTTTCTGTATTATCTCTAACCCAAAAGAGTTCAAGATTATTTTTAAAACACACTAATCCACTACTCATTGGCTCTCAATTGTTTATACTAAGAAAGAAAACATCTTGAACTAGGTTTTGATTTTATGTCTCTAATATATGCAGAGTGTATAATTTAGATTAAGTGTGATTAACTGGACAACTCTTGGCCAACATCCAACTGTGACCTCCAACCTCTCATTTTGGGTTAGGAGTTTTATAATGTCTGATTCAGAACTAGGAATTTGATAATGTCTGATTCAATACTCAGCTGGGAAATACATCTTTCTCTCTGGAGACCAGCTTTGCTACAGGGGCATGTACCAGCTAGAAATGCAATTCCACAATTGCAGATGGTAAACCCCTGAGAGGAACACCGTGCTTCACTTTAGGACTGGCATGAATAAAGAAAAAGGACATTGGCTTGTGCCTTTTTGCCCACAGACATTTGGATTTGTCTATCTTTTCATAAATTAAACAAATCGAGCTCTTTGGTGGCCCCAAATCATCTTGATACAAATGCCCAATTCTAGTGCTACATTCCTTGGTGGCATTTTCAAGAGGTTACGTAGAGTGCTCCCAGTGACTCTTCCATGCTTAACTCCTACATGTGCAGAATTATTTGTGTGTGTCTGGTTGTGCACACGTGTGTTTCAGTCTGGCCATGCACTACCCTTTTTCCTTGATGTTTAACCTGACCGATGGAGAATCACTTTTCTGGACCATATGCCTGGGGGTTGGCTGTGTGGATGGCGGAAGGCTCTTGTGATCACTGCTTGTGCTTTGTCAAGTCTGGTGTCGCCCTGCCCTTGCTCTGCTCACCTGGCTCTGATGAGGCCTGCTCTGCCCTGTTCTGTGCATCCCCCGTCTGTGCTGTCTTTGGAGAACCTGTAGAGCATTTCAACTGTCTGTTTGAGTGCTGTTGGTTATGCCGATTGTATTTCCATTTCTGTAATGTTACCCTGGTTTATTCTACCTCTTACTAACCTCTGGTTATTGTTTTCACCTTTCCTGTTCTTTTGCTAACAAAGTTGCGTTGACCAAAGCTGACCTACAAGGTAGAGAAGGTTCTTGTTCCCATTTATCCCTTTGGACTGAAAGATGCCCTGTGTAACCCTTGGTATATTTTCCTTAGAGGACTTCAAGCTGTCACACCTCTTGGACAGCAGCAATTGTGGGAGGGGGCTGAACTCTGCGTTCTTCAGAAAGTGTGGCAGAAAACCCAGATTAATGCATGAAAAATAACAAACGTGAGACCTCTTGGGGATGGGAACATGATTTTGTTTTGGAGGGACCAAAGAGGTTTGACAGCACTCCATATTGTGACTACCCACCAACATATTAATCTACTTCTGGAAATGGTCAAATGCCTCTCCAAGCAGTTGCTACGGGGGGGTTGTCTCTTTTCAACAGATGGAAGGTAGCTCTTGTAAAAAGTAAAAGGAACACAGGCCACGTGTTCTTAATTTATTATTTTCTGGGTCAGGGAGGTCATCTCTCAGAGCAGGACTTTCGAGTGCTTGAGCCTTATAGAGGAGAATGGGATTTTCTCTGGACTCATTTGGAGAACATACTTTGAGGCATTTGGGTGATATTAATATCATGAAAGCATTCTAGAGAGTTATATGTCCCATTGGGGGTTCTGGTTGAGCACTT